GAAATGCGAAATTCTGCGTTGAAAGTTAATGTGAAACACATATAAAACGCTACCGTGACACTAATATAGTGTCAAATTGGCTGACTATGCAGAATGGACGCAATTAAAAATGCTTCTGCCTGGTAAACTACCTCGCGTAATCGATTACGTACTATCGGATTGAATAAATTATTCGAGATCACGATCGACGATTCACCTATAAAAAAAAAAAACAACATCGCTATCGACGCAATTAAATGGGCAATTCGTGAATTAGCTACCGGTGATATCGCGTTATGTTATCTTGCTCCCGTTTCGATTATCGATACGGATGTTATCAATCAACAACGTATTTGCTACCAGAGAAAATCCGTCGTTAATTTATTTTTGCGTTCTCGCGATAATGGAATATATTGAATGCGTGACATGTTTTTGCGTTTTATTTATTCATGCTACGAATTATTTTGTAAATTATTGTGCAAACTCTTCACGTAGCTAATGAAGAGTGACTGCGAAAAATGAAGGCTACGATCAAAACGTGACTGACAAAGTCGACTTTCTTACAGGTGCCACAATGTAGAAATTTGTTTATCCCTGCAGGAATATTATTACGCAACAGAAAGGCCTGGCCGCGTTATCGTCAGAGTCGTTGCACCTTATCGTTTTACGGTGTCATTACAACAGCGCAAACACGTGGTGAATGTGTAACAGGACGTTTTACTGCAGCGCACACGCGTCGCATTGCAATGCCGTGCTTGCTTTACGATGTTTTGAACGATTTTCATTGTTTTCCGTATCTTTACGTCGCGCTTTTACAAAGCGCACTATGACGCAAACGTCAGAGTTTCACATACAAATATCAATAAATCGTGATTTACGCTTTGATACATTGTATATTCTGATATTTAGTAGAATGCCATGGATGCTATGGACATAAACTAACATACTTTATGTAAGAAAATTAATGGTAAAATAAAATAGAATTATAATTTTAAAATAATATCATTAACGTAATCTTTTAATTTTCGATAAAATTATTTTTTAAATGAAACAGAGTAAATTATGCGATATAAAATTTGTGATATCTGTTTAAAAGAAATCTCGTGCTTCAAATTAAGGTTTTCTTAAGTTGTAATAATTAATAAAATTTAGGAATTTAAAGTGATCCTTAATAGAGTTACAGAATATTTCATCATTAGGCTGTTTGGAGTTTATCTAAAAATTCAATCGAGAAAGGAATTCGCACCAGGAAATAATTATTATAAAATTTATGTATATTATTAGAAAATATTGATCTATGATACTATCTGAATTGCTGGAAGATTACTGATCTTGAAAGAAAGGCTTTCAACTTCAGAGGGAAATCGAGAGGAGAAACAGAATAAATGTAATTTCTAGCGGTGCGAATAGTTACGCATATTCGCAAGAGTATTTCTTTAACCGCAATACTTTGCAACGGAGATCCATCGATCCTCTTCGATCTCACGATCCGTGAGAGATTCCTACCATTCGACTTCTCTCGATGCCTCAAGGTATTACCAGAGAGAAAATAGAGGCGTCGCTTTATTATATCGCTAAATGAGAGTTGTACCACGACGTCATTGCTTGTCGTAAAATTTGAAATGTGCGAAATATCGAATGACGGATAAATTCCCTTTCGGTCGTATCTTTTCGTCTGTGACCATGACCCGAAAAGCAAATTTGTCGATCGTTGACGATCATGACAAATCTGTTAAAACCCTACAAAGTACTATTTGACTGATAACGAATAAATAGCATAAAGAAAAATATGCATAAATAACTTAATATAATGTGTAAGTCACCAAAAAATTTACATTGAGTATAGCAATTCTACTTCAATTGTATTTTATTTTCTTAAAAATCTTATATATTAATTGTTTAGTCCAGCATTTTATTTATTCATTCATATATATAATTAATTATATACAAGATTATGTACATTTAATACAAGAAATATAATTCGCAATATTAAAAAGATTGCAATCAATTACAGAAATGAATAAATAAAATGTATTTAATTATTTACAAGTATAATAAATTTTATTTTTTAACTTTTATAAAAAAAATATATATATATATATGTTATATCGTGTCTTATTATTTTCAAGACCTCTCTTTAAATAATAATTTCTCATCTTTTCATTTATTAATTTAAAATTATCTGAAATAATATGGTATATGGTTATGTTGGATTACTTTGAAATACTTTGAAAAAAAATGGGAATAATTTAGATTTAGGCAAATACCACAACTATAAATTTAATATTATAATATAAATATAATAACAAAGTAATAATAAATCTAAACCATTGAGACGCAATAAATCGCGATTATGCATATTCGCCATTCGGCGCGAACGTTTTTACGTTCGCGCCGGGAAAAAAAATCAGATAGGAATGCTGTAAAATATTAAGTAATAATCTCTCAAGAATCCGAGTCTCCCTCGAGTACCATCTCGGGCGATAAAATATCGTCAGTCGTGACACGATATCAATATTAAAGCGGCTGGTAAATTGTTGAACGTAGCTGTGAGATTTATCACCGTAGAGGGGGCGAGGCAGAAAGAGAGAAAATCTCGGGGACACGCCGTGTATATGAATTAACAAGGTTCACTTAATTAAGGAGTCGGTACCACGCATTAACGGCTGTTACGCACCGCTTCGTTGGTCGAACCTCAAAGGCCTTAAAGGCCTTTTTAAAGCGGCTTCTAATTATTCACTTTCTCCGCGGCGCAACGACTGGAATTTACGGGCTTGCGTCGCGGTCCATGTAATTTCCCGATGATACCTTTAACTACGGGAACGACAATAATTCGTTAATCGAGGATCACAGGTAATCGAGATAATCGGAAAGGAGTCGTTCACCGAGTAACTTCTTCCTTTTACGACAAGCGCGTTTTACACGGAGACTCGAAGTAATACTAATAGTGGTAGACAGCGTTTATTGCTACCTCAAAGCCCTCTAAGGACCAAAGAAAATATACGTTATAAATCTCATGATTTGTATTGTAGAAAGTAAATGTCGACAGTAAACGACAGCTAGCAGCGTAGATAAATAAGTAATTTTGATAAACATAATAATATTTCTTTTAAATTATTAAGTAATAAACGTTGCTGTGTAATTAAATTAATACGACGTTATATGAATAAAACTGTTTCGTTGCGGATTTTTTAATTTTAATAATATAAATTTTTGTATGCGTCATACAGTTTTCCTTTGATACTAAAGGTTTAAAATTATGATATAGCTTTATGGCTGTTAAATTTAAAATTAACATAAATGTATGGAATATACGTAAATACATGGTGAATATTTGTAATAAAAATAGTTAAAGCGTAATATTATATTATAATATTCATGTTCATTTTTAAATAGAGAAAATCATTTCCTGCAAAAAACGATTAAAAACTTTTGAGAATGTTAAATCAAACTTGCAAATAATAATCAAATAAAACTTGAGTTTCAAAAAAACGCATAAAATAACTTTTATTTTCCATCGAATTGCTATCAAATCTCACGTGCGGCGGTGCTCCGTAAAAGCGATTCTGTTTACGACAGATTAAAAAACCTTAGCAAAAATTGAAGCCGTCGACCTGTCATTGAACATCACACAAGAGATTATCGCAGAGACCAAGATCGAGGCCAAAGACAGTCACCATGAGATCACTTTCTATTTGTAAGCAGTGTAAGACGAACGAGCTCGATACATGTCGGCAATTATCGATCGCATAAATCTCGGCTATCAGAAATACCTGCCTACATAAACTTCGAACTAGGAAATTATTCTTTCTCTTCTCAGTTTCTTAATCTTCCCGAATAATTTAATTCGCAGATGTATACTTTTGATGATAATTACGGACGATAATCTAAAGTGCTACACGAGACTGCGAGTAATACGGTGACAGATAAACGCGGTTTCGCAATAACTAAAGGTTATTGTTGATCCGCGATAGTAACGATTTAACAACATCTTGCTTGACATTTCCTTCATAATTCAAGAATCGCGGGACGACTATTTTTTCTTAATTAACAAGCAGTCGCTCCTATACGTACTGTAATACGTACTGTAATAAGAACCTCGGTTGTTTCCAAAAGTTTCCGTGTATTCGCGACGTAACGACATCTCTATTACGAATTGTTATTATGATTTTTAGCAAATTATCAATTTCCCTTCCTGACAATTGCGCCTTTTCGATTAACGGTACCGTCCCCGGATTCCCGACACGTCAATCAAATAGCACATGTCGCGGCGCTTTGACAGAGAAAATTACAACAGCCGTCGTTCCCATTAGACACAAGCATAAATCATATGACCGACAGCTTGGCGAACCGACATCCGCATTTCTGCATTTTCTCGGCGAATCGCCGCAATCGGCCTCTAAAAACCTCGATAGGCTCGTATCGAAAAACGCGATTCCTTCCAGCTTTCAGCAGCCGACGCATCGGGATAAAAAAAAAGAACGGACAAGAAACGTATCCGTACAAAGTGTTAACGAGCGTATATTTCATATCGGAGAAAGTTTAGAAAGGAACAACATTCGTGCGCGCCGTCAAAATGTAAAATAAAGCCGGAACGACTTCGTTTACGTGTTCCTCTAAGTCACGTTTTCGCGAAGCGAACCGCGCGCGAATTGCCTCGCACGAGACCGTGGAAAAACGTATCGCCGGTCTTTTGAGCGGCGCGGAGGATACGAGAAATGGCGCCCGCTTATCTTCACTTATCCTCACTTTCTCGATAATGAGCAAATTGCGCGGCGGACCGATCCACATTTCACGGCATGATTTCCTGCGATCGATAGGCTCGATCATCTGATAACGCGTCACGTCCCAAGCATCGGAACGGAAGTGATCGATGAGCCGATGCACGGTGCGCACTTCCGATCAGAGATTAAGAATATCTTTCCTCTGTCTGTGCGACGTAATTCAATTGACGTCAACGACGTCCGATCGGAAAGGATATGTCAGACATTCCTGGTGGAAGCGATAAAGACGAAACATACCTTTGTCCGGTTCAGCGGATTTGAAAAGTCCCATCCAGGCGCGACAAATAGATATCCACATTTGGAAATCTTCCTTGTGGCCTGAAAGAAAAAAAATGGTTCATGTTAGATAAGAGTCGATTTCCTCTTGATAAAAGTAACATGTATAATTATACCCACAACTATAAATGAAAATGTTACAACAGAGAGATTAAGATTTAAAATAAATAAAAGTTCCATAAATTTTAAAAATTAATTACATTATGAGACTGAATTAATTCAAGACATGATTATCAAAATCTAAAAATTATCAAATTGTAGAAAAAAATAAGACATGTATAATTAAATTTTTCAAAAAAGAGAATAATTTCGCAAGTTGATAAAAAATTAATAGTACAACTGTCTATATTCTATATAATAATTTTGGTAGAGAAAAGTAATTCTATCTTAATATTAAAAGCTGAGAAAAAATGGAGTAAAAGAAATGAATCCGACATGCCGGTGCGTTATTATAACACGACCTCGATTTCACGAGGTAGAGACCGATTTGTCGGCGCTGTAGAGGTCCCTTTTTCTATCGCAGGAAACGCGGGTCAAAGATCGAGAATAAGAAATAGCCGTCGCAGCCGCATCGTGTCTACAAAATGAGCTTCCATCGGAAGGGAACCGGGAGCTAATCAAACTTTCAAGCGATGCGTTTTATCCGACGGATCTTTCTCCGAGTCTGTTATTATTCTTCAAAAGAGGGTTTCGAATACTTATAGAAATAGGATGAAAGACAGTTAGGAAGAAGGGAGACAGCGATCGTGCACGTAGAAACGAATCACGCAAATAGAAATCTAACTCCAAGGAATCTTAAAGTATCGGGCATTCATCAAATGTATCAAACGAATACGATTTTAACATTCGAGCATAATGTAACACGAATCTGGCATGATTTATAACTCTCAAAATAAGTTAATTCTGATGAAAGTAGAAGTCTAGCGTTTTACCAACTTTTAATAGGTCAAGCATTTTTACCAGTCAGCAACTAAACACCATCATTTTCTGTCTCAACACATCCGTTCTCTCGTTTTTATTCATCGATGTGTAATAGCACGTCGCTAAATCTCTCGTATATTTCTCTAGTGTTTTTTTTCTCATTCAATCGAAACAAATGTAAATATATACGCAAATATACGACATATCGATAGTGTCATTAAGGGAGATTTATTTAAATAAAAGCTCAAAATAAATTAAATTTTTCAAAGCGTGATACTAATATTATTACGATAGAGATGAAAATTAAACTTTTAAATTGCCAAAAAAACTCACAATCATCTTAGTCAAAGATTTGTCGAGTCTTTAAATTATACAGTGCTCTACATGTTTCATTGCTTGATAACATTTTAGAATCTTCAAGAATTCGAAAATAAGGCCGAAGATTACTCCGCAATTACTATATATATATCCGCAATTACTATATATATTTATGTAACGTAGGCAATCAAATTCACATTTGATGAGATTAACTCAATAAAGTATGATGTATAATCATGCGAAGTTACAACTGGAGTATAACGCCGACTTAAATAAATGTACGTCTTCGGCAATTTGAGACTTTGAACGATCACAGAGCGCCGCGGCAATCAGAAACTCAAGCGCTTATCCGCGGCAATCAACGCGCAATAATTTGGCACTCGTTATATCCCCGTGGTAGATAATGCCACGTAAATAATGGCTATCGCATCGCGTTTACACGATGGCGCGGCGTGGCCAAACTGGCAAAAAGGCCGCTCTCGCCAAGAAGTAATACGTCGTCCGTTCTCGTACATACGGCCGATCTTCCATTGCGTGGCAACCTCGAAACGAGGCGATCATCTATCTCTCTTTCTCTTTCTCTCTTTCTCTCCTCTGACCGGAGCAAGAACAAGAATTCACTCGGCTTTATGGAGAAATAAAGGCAGGCTGCGCGAGCAAGGCGTTCCGCGCCTCTTTCCTTCGGGAAAATTACGACGCTTCCTTGTACGAGCTAAACGAAAGAACATCCGACAAAAACGCTCGATGCCTAAACACATGCCGAAGTCAGAGAACGAGCAAGCCGGAATTTTATTTTACTTTATTGTACGTGAAATAAACAGGCGCGGCACAATTGCAGGAAGATAATTTCGTTAAGACGAAAATATGCGATAAGATCAGTGTGTATAAAAAATTCGGTATTATAAAGTCCAATTGTGTTAATAAAAATTAATAACTAAAACCTTCGGTATAAAAATGAGATATGTATAAATGTTAAAAAGATGTTAAAAAAACTATCGTGATATCTCTTTTTATGATAAGTTATAAGTTTGATATCAAAGGAAATTTATCATTTTTATTAAATTTAAAATAAGATGCTGAACCGAAACCGAATAACAATTTATTTCTCATTTAATTCAATTTTTCAGTTAAATGTTTCAACAAATTCAACAAATGAATTTATTAATTTGATAATTATTAAAATACGTATTTAATAGAAAATTAACACTAATACATAATCTAATTCCTGAATATTTTTAGAAAGAAAAAAATCAATTAAAAATTAAAAAATTAAAAAATTCATAAATGAAAGATATATTTATGGCATTTAATTATTTCTAAATATAATCATAAATCATTTCAAATACAAAATCATTTTTTATGTTCATCTTAAATATGAAAACGTGACATCTGAAACAGGTTTCTCTCATAAGGTATAAATAAATCTCATTCATAGAAATCAAATTCTTCATTTAAATGAGAATATTCATTAAAAAGTATTCATTGTGAAAGGACCAGACGCGGGTAGTCTCGATTCGCTGAATTATACATCACGAACATCGCGAGGTAAAAAACAGCGACACTTTCCACGCTATTTCATGTATAAAAATGTCAAATGCCGGATTCACGGTCCAGTTATCTCGTCGGCCGTGATCGCAACTGCTGCTTATCGAGAAAATATTCGTTAAAAAGCGCAAGGCTAATCGAAAGTCGCCTAATGCCGGGATATATCGATATCGCATTCGTACACGAGATGCATCCCATTTTTTTCGCTCAACTGAATCAACATCAGTGAACGAATGCCTACGCTCTGTTTAACTGCTTTCCGTCCGGTTCGTACGATTTCCTGTCGCTCGTCGCACATTCACAATTAACTTCCGGCGTGCTGATTGTCACGTACCGACAGCGTGAGCCTAGCGAACCATAACCGTTCTGTTACAGCATATCGCCGGTCGCCAAAACGACGAGTATCATTATGAAATTATTTCCTACGGAGGCAGTATAACGTGCGTAGTATAATAGTAAGCTAACAATATTTTATCTCATAATCTCTCGGTGAATTAATTTCCGAAGTGGAGAATATCCCACAGCTACCGGATGAAATTGCAGCACACTCCTTCAGTTGCAGTACGGTGATTAAGATATTACTCATTCGAGATGTAGTATAGATTACGTTAAAGTGGAAGTATGTTTTATAAAATTCGTTTCTCGTGCGCGGCCTTCAATCCCGTGTTCAACACGAGCATGCAAATTAGCCAATAAATCTGTGTAGTTAAGGGACACCTCGTATTACCACACAATTTCATGATTTCGATACGGAAATTTCATTTGCATCGCGATTTATCACGCTAATTAGGGGTACAGGTTTCGACGACTCGGGATCTGTTACGGCTCTTATCCGATTTTTTCACGCCTGGCGAGAAGCTGCCAGCGTCCAATATCGTACCGTACTTCTCTCGACGGGCCATTAAGGATAATTCATGAGCGCTCGCGCGCTCCTTTTCTCTCTTTCTTCCTCGCGCGGTTCAGCAAACAAGTGTGACTTGATCGCAACGTTACGCAATCGAAGGCACTTGTCTCACAATTGACAATAATTGGACAGCAGGTCGCTTGCTCCCCGGTCGGGTGGGCCGCTTCCTTCTGGTCGTCCTTGACACGCTTCGCAGACCGGAGTCCTTGCCAGTCCTTAAGCTCGAAACGACGTGACCCAGATCGCGATGGGGGCCCACTACGTTTCTAATCTCTAATAAAGCCGACATAAACGTGCCCCCGCGTTACGGCGATGACGTAGGTGCCGAGAGAGTATGACGATCATTCTCATCGACCTCTCGAAGGCGATATCGCGAGCGCGGTAAAATGACTCGGGCAACGAGGCACCGAGCTGTACTTTATTAAAGCAATTAAAGGTCCGCGGCCACGTTCGCCGGCTCGTTAACCAAACAGAGCGTGTCGCGAACGATGCCTGCCCAATAAGAAAATCCCGTTGCACGCATTAACTCGCCGCCGGCATTCGTTTCCTATACGCCTGGAATGCGAAAAGCACCGGTAGTCACAACGGTGACTACAGAATTTTGTAGAAAACATATCTTTCCTCAAGTCTCTCTTCAAACCCGAGCGGAATTTTATATTTCCGGAATTTATCCCGGAAATATTAAATACGGTCGTCACATAAAGAATTAAATTCTCTAGTTTTCGATTTTAGATTTTAACAAATTAAATAATAAACTAATAAACTAATAAACTAATAAATAGATTTAAAATTATACATTTTTAAATTTGATTAAAAATTAATATAATAGTTTAGTAGTTTTATAATGATATTTTAAGCGGAACAAAAGAAAACACAATAATACACAAATTAGATTAACATTTAATAAGCGCTAAGATAAAAACGTTTGATTGTAAAAAAATATGAAATAAAAATATTATATAAATAATAAATGCATAATAAAGAATTTTAAAAAATATAAAACACATATGAAAACATACTCAGTTTTGCATTATAAATTACAAGATAAAAAAAAGAATTTTTATTACCAAAATTTCAAATTTCAAAAGAAATTTTGAAACACGTTTATCAAATAGTTTTGTATATTAAAAAGAGTAATGTTGTAAATTTTTTCATCTCGATGCTTTCCGTTCGTCAAGTTTCATTTCTCGTTCAGTGGGAAAGTTCCCTCATTGCTCCGCAAAGCCGAGTACGACGGTGCACCTTCGCGTGTTACGCATTCGAGAGGAATCCCACGCGTCTCGTCGCCTGTATATCCTACATCCGGTGCCCGCGGATCGAACGAACCTCCGTGCGTACTGGAAACTTGTCCCCA